GAAACAGCCCATGTATTGCTTCCCCTCCAAATGCTGGTCTAGAAGACAACCGAGATTCTCTGGCAAGATCCGTGTTCAGAAATGTAAATGGTTACAAAGTCCTCCAGCTGTTTAATAATTCTCTCCTTGCCCGTTATTTCTTCAGTCGTAAAGAAAATTACTTTAATGATTAATACAACATTTCTTTACCTCTAAGCCTCCAAGACTTTCACTTGCCCCATGACTTTAAAAAAACACCTTGATGGGCTTCATCTGCTAACTCTCATAATTTCCTAGGATGTCTGTTGGCCAGACTAGATGATCCATGCTCCAATTCTCATTCTTTAGCCCATATTAATTTTTTGCTAATCTTTACAATAGTCCTGACTTCTTCATTTCATTCTTGTTAAAGTTTTGTTGTAAAAAGTCTATTGGCCATTCAAGAATTGCTAATTTCCTTCCCCTCCTCCATTCAGCAACCTGCCCCTCTGATAATCTCTTTATAAAAACCTTATTCTCCATAATCCCTTTAGTATATTCTTCTCTTCTCAGCTCCCTTGAGTTTTCCCCTCCAAGCTCTGGTTTGCCTTCTCTTTCCAATACAGGAGCATCCAGATCCCCCGGCAGTACTCATGGGGCTGCATTCACCTGGGATTCCTAAGGTGGGTCATTTTCATCTCCATTTTAAGCCTGAGAAACCAAGGCACAGATGCCCAACCCAAAACTTTCAAGGCAGAATCCAATAACTAGGTATCCAGACACAGACCACTTAATCCTGAATTTCAGAAAGGCCAGATACCCACAACTGCAATCATAAGCAGCTATGGGGGTCCTTGCACTCATGAAAGCCACACCGTTGGTCTTTTAAAGTAGGGCCAAATCCTCCAAAGTATTTAGTCACCCTACTCCCACCTAAATACATTGATTATCTGGGCCTAAGTGATGCAGCCAAGGTTGCAAGTGAAGAGCAAAGCAGGGAAAACCCCTAAGAGTATGGTGTGTTACAAAAGTATGCATCTTACCTGTTTTTCAGTGGCTTGAGCAGGGTGGAACTGGATCAGATTTAGGTGTATAATAAATGGAACAAGATGTGTCCCGTTGTCTTTTATCCCCAGTTGTTCCGGTCAGTCAGTGTAGAACGCATAACTATAAGTAGTTTAAATGATGCCTTCCATAGTGCACCACTGTGCATAATCCACCACCAACCATGCTGCCTATTTGCCCAGCTTTTCCAGGTCTCTGAGCTTCCTCACAGTCTTCTCTAACCTGGATTGACCTGAATAATGGTGTGGGAATCCCAGAAGCATAAGGTTAGCTACCACTTACACATTTTTTCACCTCTGGCAGTAAGTGCAGATGCTAACGTTGCTCATAAAAGCATTGCTTCCTTCTTGAAAATGTCACCTGGCGTGACAGAGGGTGGGAATTAGTGAATCACACTGGCCAAAAAGTATTGCAAAATTGGCCCTCAAGGTTTATAAGTAGGAAATCAAACGGGCAGCTCTGCAGAACCCCAACAATGCAAGGACATTTTTCATTTTTATGCTCAGGATGCTCGGGCATTGGAGGGCCTGTTGGCTGCGGGAAGTTGTTGGAGGCCACAAAGGCAATGGCAGATCTGCATTCACTGGTTGCATTTAAGCTCACAACTAGGACGGCCGTGCTGGGGAAGCTTGGCTTGTAATGCACCTCGCTCTCGCACCTCTTGGAACGGGTGTGCTTCTTAACAGCAACAACAGGCCTAATTGGTGACCAAGTTAGTGGAGCATCCTGCTTGTATCCTGGGGTGGGGATAGAGGAGCACGCAGGCTCACGCTAAGTCCAGCAGAGCCTTTTCCCGTGCCGCAGCTTGGCAGACAACAAGCAAGGAGGCTCCCAGTGTTAGGGAGACGCGCAAGAGGGACTCGATGTTAGTTTTGGGGTGGACGAGGGCAGGGAAGATATTTTTGGAAGCCTGGATCGTGCCCAGAAGAGAGCCGTTTCCCTTGGCCTGTGAAAGTTGCTCAGACTGAAAGCAACAACAGGCGAAAGAAGCCAGCTTTCCATTCCCCTGTTCCATTACTCTTTTTGATTGGCACTTTAATGAGGGCGCTAGGGGTCGACCCCCTGCCAGGGGGCTGGTTCATGCCCCGTTTATCTCACAGTCCATGTAAGACTAAAATAACACGCCAGGCTGAGTTTCACTGGCTTGTGATCCAACAGCCCACCATGATGGATTGAGTGACTGCAGCAAGTTGGCAGCTAAAGTGTGTTGTAACAGTATCTTTCTGTCAGCACAACACAATGGATTTGCTGATCCCTGGGTTTTCGCAGTGTTCGCTGTTGCCATCGGCTCAGAAGTTTCGAAAGTTCATTTTCCAGGGGGCTGCAAAGCGATCATAAATAATGTACCAAAGGTTACTTTAGGTTCTTCTTCTCCTCGACTGTCCTGCAGCTGACAAAGTAGGTGTGGTGGTGCCAGCTATGTTCCACGCACAAAAGGAGCCGTAAATGCCTCGCACTCGCCTTTTCTGGAGCTGCCTAAAGTTCAAGGAATAAAGTGGGGACAGCTATGCCAGTGGCTTTTCATGCTCTTCCAGGCAAGCATATGGTAAGCAAGTCTCTTGGCCAGAACAAATATAATCCAATGCAAGAGTAAACCTGTCTGTATATCAGCACACTGAGATTATACAGAATAGCTGCATGGTTATCTCGGGATACAGTTTATCGAGTGAGAAAGTATAGCTAGCAAGCCCCGTCCCATCAAACTGCCCCATGTATCTATCCGCATGGTTTTCAGTCATCGCCATAAAATAAATATACTCTGTGTTGTGTTTCCCCAGGGGATCTCCAAGGCTCACAAGTGCTTTGAGCTGTTTCTGTTCCTTCCCTCTTTTCTGCCAGCGAGTTTTTAGCGTCCCCATTTTACTGGTGAGACAAACATGCAACGTGAAGGTAGGTGTTTCTTAACAGTAGCTTGTCAGATTTGTTTCTAGAGAAGCCTCTGCTTGGAGAATTATTTATAAAGACCAATAAATGCAACTTATCTTCAGCTCTCCACAAAGATGGGAACATGCTATGAGGAACAGTCCTGTTGAGGCAGATGGTTTTGGGGTACAAGGCAAAGACAAAGGTAAGAGTTGCTATACTGGGTAAAGCGAAATGGGCCATGTTGCCCAGTATCCTGTCTCTGATGGTGCAGGAGTGGATGCTTGAGAGGGAGAGCATTGCACTGGGTGTATCTGGAGTGATCTATCCTCTGTGCATTACCCTCCCTAGCATCCACCATCATTGGTGCAGAGAGGCCAGGGGATCCACCCCTGACTCTTCTGTTTAATAGCTACTAATAGATCTACGAGGACACTCTCATGTCTGCACTCACATGGTCTCCTGTAGGCATCCCCTATATTCACAACCATGGTATTGCTTTGTCCCTTTGACAGCAGCTGCCAAATGCCACTTGACAACCAACCCCCTTCCCAGGCAAGGCTAAGGGCGGGCGGTCAAATAATGGACTCCCCTATAGACAGCCTCTTGCTTTCTCTCTTCCCCCACCTCTCTCATGGCTTTCATGCCACTCTTATCACTACAGTAGCTGGTACTGGGCATCTCAAGGTACATTATAAACAGAAACCTGTGGCCTGTCCACAAGGTGCCCTGTCCCTGTTTTACGGGGGAATAGACGGTCATAGACCCAGGAGGTGCTGAACAAACACCCACAACCTGTATTGCCTTAGGTGAAAGTTGTGGGGTTTAGCACCTGAGGATCGGGCCCTAAGTGATTTATCTTAAGCAAGTAAACACGGTTGGAAGAGAACATGATACACACTTTATAAATCCCAAAGCTACCTCTTTATCACATGTGGTACATCACAAAGTACTAATAAATGAAGGTGTCTTCCAGTAAGCTCCCTAAACACTGCCGCATCGCTACTGCTGTGGCTGCGAGGTCTGTATACTGGAGAATAACACTTGTTGGAAACATGAAACGGCCAAAATTCAGCTCTGGTCTGTAGGCAGAGGTAATCTTGCTAAGATTAGAACTAAGCTATGGGTATGTGTTTTAACTGGGAGAAATTGAGCTTGATGGCTAATGTCATGTAATGTTCTCCCAACATCTGTCAGCAATTATTTGTATTTACCAGCTCTGCAAATGCAAGAGGGTCAGTGAAGACAAAGTCTCTGAATTTGCTGGATTCCCAGCAGAGCCTGGTGTCTTCCCTGAAGGAATCCCTGATAGTGCCTGTTTAAATGCTGGCTCCCAGTCCATTGGCCTCTCCAGGGCACAATTTCTTCCAGATACAGCTGGGATGCAAATAGAAGTGACAGAATCTACTCCTCTGCCCTGGAGAGACAGGCTACCTCCTTTGACATGTGTTGCATTGCAGTTAGCACCGCTCAAGACCTGGGCCTGTATCCCTGTCTTTCAGACTGCAAATCCAGCCCCTCCCAGCTCCGACTCCCTCTCCCCATGGCCACGTCTTGAGCTGGGGCAGTAGGAGTGAGGTCTGAGCTCGACTGGAGTTGCACTCCACCTGTGCCGGGCCGGGTGAGGAACAGGTTAGCTGGGTGAAAAGTTCACTGTGAGCCGAGCTGTCTGTTTCCCTTGCTTAATTTATCCGATATTTGGCTAACCTTGCTCTGAACCCAGCCCCCGAGACCCCCTTCCTCTCACCCCTCCCCAGCGGGTTCATGTCAGCCAAAGACACCCCCCTCCCCTTTTCTCTGACCCCGCTGAAGGGAGCGGGGGCTGGGACAGAGGGCCAGGCACTGGAGTGAGAGCGCGTTGCACAGGAGAGATCATCATTATTTATGCTCTAAACTACAACAGCCCCATCCTCGGGAACAAAAATAAAAGCTTCACAGTCAGCAACATTTGACTTGCTGTGTCCAAAAATATCAGCCTTCCCAAGGCCAGCAGCACCACCCCACGTCCTGCCTCCTCTTGGGTCTATCGCTCTTCCAAGAATGTGTCACTGCTTAAGGATCTTGGAGCCCGAAGGATCTTGGACCCGTAGGCGAAGGATTTCTATTTTGTAGACCTTTGCAGCAGATTTTCTCAGGAAGTTGTAAGGCGCTCTCACATGTTCCCTACAGGCGTCCCCCCTATTCACAACCATGGTATTGCTTTGTCCCTTTCTCTTTGGTAAAAGAGGTCCCCAGAAGCAGGAAAAGAGAGGTGCTGGAGGATGGAGCAGGGCTGGGAAACCATTTTCTGCTCACTGCATGTTGGGTTGGGTTGGGTTGGGTTGGGTTGGGTTGGAGGAGAAGAACCCTATGAGGATCATCCTGGTCTTCCCTCAGCCCCCATCTGATGTGTAGAGGGGAGTCTGTATACAAGGTGGTGGCCACAAAGGAGCTCTGCTGTTTGCTGCTATTGTGGGGAGTGGGGGAAGCCTGCCCCAGATGTGGCACCTGCAGCCCAAGCTACTCAACGTGTGTGACAGGGACAAGGATTCGGTCATCCCTGTGGGCTGAGGAGTTCCTCTTCAAAGGGGAGTATCTCGCCCTCCTGAAAATTGCTAGTGACATCCCAGTGTCATGTCTTCCCCTATGCATTCTCCAAGCACAACTTCCCCTTTCTGGGAAAGCACAAGCAGTGTTTGCCCCCCAGTCATGGAAGTCCAGGCAGAGCAGCGTAAGAAACATTGTTCAGTGGCCAGGGGATGGCTCTAGCGGTGTCTGCCAAAGTCCCATTATAATCCTGCCGAGTGCCTATTGTTAAACTGTTGAGCTCGTGACTTCGATATGAACCTCCAAAAGTGACAGCGCTATTCTTCCCAAACCCCAATAGTCAAGTAGTTCCTGGAAATATGTATGATTGACACGATCCTAAGGAAGCATCCCGTTTAGTAAGGTTTTATGGCTCAACACAGTGAAGAGCTTCATGTTCCACATTATCTGGACAAAGGGTCGTCTTCACATCTTCTGACTCGTGCAAAACAACAGGACAGACAGGTTACAATTTTGCTTCTTAGAATTATGCATATTCCTTTATAATATCATTGCAGAATTACTTATAGACGGGGCCCTACCCCAAAGATTTTCTTTCTTCTTTAAAAAAAAAAAAAAGAGAGAGAGAGAAAATAGGCACAGGCCTGCCAGCTTTACAATATGTGGAAATTCCTTGTGGCCTAAGAATAATATTTAACTGGCTTCTCAGGATCACCACATGACCTTGCCTTGACACGGGGCTTAACATGTCTGGAAGCACAGACAGGAGTAGCTCTGATGTGGTCACTCTTTTTGGTGACAGCATCCCCTTCAGTCTTAACCACTCTTGCACACAAGCAGCAACAGGCCAGCTTGTGAAAACAGCTTGGGTGCTATTAATGGAGTCCTGGGCATATATCAAAGAACAAGACCCAGCACCTCTCACTTAACCCCTGCGGGTTTTCAGGGCAGGAGGATTGCTAAGAAGAGCTGAGCAAGTTTTCACCAGAAGGTCAATATTCAAAAGGCAAGAGCAGCAGAAAGGTCAGAAGGGTCCTGGTAAAACCCATACATGCAGAGAAGGCCATACATATATAGAATTGACAGGTATGCCTCTATATATTAATGTATGCATTTCATGATATATGCCATTTAAAATACATTTTTGCGGTCATAGAATATACATGTAAACGTATATATCAGGTCTGTTATACAAGGGTGTTTTAGAAATTTAAAGGCAAATGGCTGTCCACATTGTCTACAATAAATTGGGAAAATGCATAGTATTCTCAAAAGGTATCCTTACCAGCTAAGAACCGCTGCCCAAAGGGTTTTTCCATCTATCGACGCCTCTGTGAAGTTCTTTTCTACCCAGGAGAACTTTTACAATCTTTTCTCTGTACCTGATGGAAGGGTGTTTGTGCCCAAAAGCTTGCAATTAAAGATTTTTTTTTGCAAAAATCTGTTGGTTTAATAAAAGATATCACCTCTGTCCATGAGCCCTGATTAGTATTCTCAAATACACCCATCATTTATGGCTACATGGAGGAATGATGTGGTCCATTTTGCGGACAAAATGGTTTTATTTTGAAATTGCTGTTAATTTCAGAAACACCCTCTAGTATCATCCAAAACATTATTTTTAACAAGCATTGTTTCCACATTGAATGGGGGCAGTTTCTGATCAATCCATTTGATTATGATAATCCTGCGATTCCTGGAGAAGGTGCTGCACAAGGAGGTAAGCACACGCTCAGGCTTGTCCCTGCCTCGCTGATCCCCCCACCCTCACTGTCTGTCCCTTCTGCGAGTAAGCAAGCACTATAATATATCGATTTATTTTTGAAGTTGCCATTCAATGCATGAAAGGGATGGAGGGGTGCCTCAAGTGCAGTGAGCAGTGCCTCCAGTCTAAAAATATTGGGACTATTCACTGTGATAATCATTAATATGGTAATAACCAGATATAGGCAGACTGTGTTTCGGGTAAATGCGATATCTTTTATTAGACCAACTGAACAGTTGGAGAAATTGTTCTTTGCAATTTTGTGGGCGCAAACACGTTTATTCAGGCATAGGGAGAGTCTGCTGTTGGTTTGTGTTCTCCTACATGGAATAACACAGCTACAACCAACACCCCCAATAACCAGATATAACATTTCCATTTGTGTCACTCTTTATCAAAGATTGCAACGCACATTGCTTAACCCTGGCAATGTGTCTTTGAAATATGCCTGGTTAGATCCACCTTTCAGAACAGCAAACCAGGATAAAGTGAAGATTAAGTAAGCAAAGGCAAGGCTGGGCTTGCTTGCTTCCCTCCTCAGACCCGATATCTTGCATTTGAAAGCTTGACTAACTTTATTCCAGCCATGCAGGTGGTCTGATTAAAAAAAAAAAAAAAAATCACTCCAAAAAACCTTACCTCTTCTTGCATAATTCATGGGCCATCGCAGCTACACCATCACTTTAAGACTACCAAGGATGACAAATACAAATACCCGGGAATCCTGACTCCTAGTTGGGTACTTCAAGTACAACAAAGCAAAATTCCTGCCAGAGCAAGAAAGGTGGAAGATACCCATGAAGAGTTCATTTGAATAGAAATATACCTTAAATGCTTCACAAGGTAAGGTTAAAAAAATTGTCTCATCAAAGAACTTTGCCTGGGATTTCAACCTGGCTAGTCCTTCTGAACACATGGCCAAGCCAGCAGCACAGGAAAGCATTTATAGAGATCTGGCTGCCCAAAAAGACTCCCCTGCCTTACTCATTCTTGCCCAACAGCCTTTTATTCACTTTTACAGAGCTAGAGAAGGCAAAAGACAAAAAAAAAAGGTCACAGATGGGTCAGATTCCTACATACCCACATTAGGGGATTACATTTACGGTGTTGCAAGAATAGGATGGTGATCTCAAACTCTAGGCCATTCGAATGAGTTTGCTAATTGGAACAGTTCCCAAAGGACTAACAGTCATCTAACTGAGGCCTGTGGGCCAAAAATCCCAGCGTGGCTTCCATCTGTCTGATCACAGCTAAGAATATAAGCTCGCCATATCCGAATCAGACTTCTGGAAAGGGAACAAGGGGACCGCAGCCAAGTGGAGTTTTTGGATACTAGGTCATCAAAGGTAACTTCCCACAGAGTTGGAAGGCAGACCTCAATGGGCATAAATACCCCATTTTTGGATCTTGCAAGCATACTTTTTCACAGAAATGACTTGGAAATATATGGCGAATTACTGCTAGTGCTAATCGCTTTCCTCATTTTAACAAAGATCATAATTCAGGGAACAGGCAGTGGCAGGGACTCGATGTTTTTACTGATTGTTTCATTTTGTTCTGAAAATAGCACAGACTATGATCTACAGACATTGGTTAATAACATAGTAGAGCCAGGGATACTTACTGGAAAAAGCCTTTGCGGGGAAAAAAACCCAACTATTTGGAATTATTCATCTGATAACTCCCATTTTATTTTCCCATTTATTCTTGGCGCCGTTGCCCCGCTGGAACATAGGACTGGACAGGATGAATCTAGTCCCCTGTTACTGTAAGCATCCTGTCATAATCCCTGATTTGTGTTCCTGCTTAAACCTCAGTGGATATTTTTGCCCCCATGTCGAGGAAGCCACTCCAGAGCCGCCATCCTGTGGCAGTTAGAAATGTTCTAACTTCCAACATAAATGTATTCACGGCCAGTGTGTTTCCATTAGTTCATGTATAAAGCATATCCGTTTAAATGGCTTCTTCTTTCCTCTTTTGGTAATTACAGGGAACAATCATCTGTCCTCACAGCTTTCATTTTTGCTGGTCTAAAGAAACCGCAGTCTTTTAGTGTCTTCTCCTAAGGCCTAGCAGCACTTCTCGGCATGGGTTTCAGCTTGAGTTAATTTACCTGAATGTGGATGATCAAACTGTATATGATATTCTAGATGAATGTTCACCCATGTCTTGCGCAAGGGTGCTAATATTTCCCTATCACCTGCCGTAGCATGTCAGAAGATTGCATTTGCCCTTTATGTAGCACCGTCACATTGGTGGTGACTTCATTCTTGCAATCGCTTAAAACACAAAGGTCTTTCTCCTCCTGTTGTTTCCAACTGGTGAGCTCCCGTCTTACATTCACATGCACAGCAGACATCCCTGTTGTCTGTAGTAGTATATGGGGCGGGGCACCGGTCCGGGGGCGGGGCTTGTCAGTTTGACAGATATACACCCACATGCTACTGTCAGTTCCTAATTCCACAATCCTGTACAGTTTTCAATAAAGTTTCATCTCGTTTTTAGTACTCCAGGCCTCAGGTTCATCCAGTTCCTTTTGCATGATGATCCAGTCCCTCTTCATATTGGAAATGGCTTCCATCTCTGGGTCATCACCAAATGTAAGTAATGTACTCCTGGTGTTTGTGATGAGGTCAGTATTGAAAGTAGAGAACAAAATCAGTCCCCAAACCAGCTGTTTGAGGAACTCCACTAGGAATCTGCAGTCCTGAGCCGCTGTTGTTGCAGATGAAAGAATGCAGGAGCCTGCTGCACCTGCCGAGTTTGTGGGTGCAAAATTAGAGGTGCCCTTTGGTGTGCAGCGTGGGTGACAGCTCCACAGCTTTCTCTTGCTTTGCCCCCAACCCTGGATGAACCTCATTGCAGGGGCTGTGTGGGAGTACAGCTCTACAGGTGCTGGGGTGGCTTTTCTCCCCCAGACCCTTCCCTCAAACCTGGGGAGCAAATTAATGCTGAGCCTGTGCTATAGGTTCAGAACGTGCCATTAAGAGAGGAACGGGGGCAGCAGTGGATGCATCAGGAGCTGAGCTGGAGAGAGGACTGTGTGGCAGCGCAGAGCTGAGGAGCTCCTGTGCAGATGGTCTTTGAACCCCAATTACCTTCAGCACCCACACGTCTAAGGGGCTGAATTCCTGGTGCCCTCCACCAGCCTCACCCTCTGAGAGCAACGCAACAGGTCAGCTCAACTCATTACAACTCATACCAAAGCTCTGTTCACTTGGGTGCCCAGATGTTGAACATTATTGGTTATCATTTAAGATGCCTACACAGAAATAAGCCATGGGGGGGGTGGTTATAATACGTGAGCCCAAGAGAAGAGCCTTTACAGCATCCGAATGGGGTTAATGTTCTTAACACCTCCAAAATATTTACTCACAGCAGTCTCTGTTCAACTCAGAAATATTTTATTGGCAGAAGGCGTGGTGCCAGAGTGCATTTGCCAGCGATCTCAGGCATCTGCTAGAGACGGAGCGAATATATCAGGCATCGGCTTAGTATAGCGTTGCAAAGTGCAGCTCAGTTTTTATCCCCTGGTAAGGGAATGTCCAGATTCCTTGGCCAAGACTAACTGTCCCACAGGCAAGTTAGCTACCTACTGAGCAACCAAAATATTAAAAATTGCTAACATGTGGAATCTATTAAGACAGCAAGAAGGAATTCACATCCATTGTTTCACTTGAAATATAAAGGTTATAAAACTTGATGGCCACATGACAAGGGAACTATATGAAACACTCAGAGATTTACAGAGTAACTGCAATGCTCTTTAGGCATGTGGCCTGAAAATTGCTTTACAATAGGCAACCCAGCCTGTGGTTTGAGAACTGAGATTTTCTGGCTGTTTCATTTTTTCTTTCTTTCTTTCTTTCCTTTTTTTTTTTTTTTTTTTTTTTTCCTTTTTTTTTTTTTTTTTTGTTGCCCTTCCAGACTGGTATTCAGTTACTGCAGCAGCTCCAAAGTAAAACAGAAACACAGCTTGTATCTTCTTTCAAGTATTTATTTCTTTTGTGCTGTTAACATCTAGTAATGAAAGGAATTGTAAGGATTTGATGGGGGAGGGAATGAAAAGAAAAGAAAAGGAAAAATACCAACACGATGGCTTCATTTTTCACAGCGAGCGCAGCACAAATGAACAGCAAACACATACTGGGGAAAAATGCAAACAAAAGCTAACGTTTGTTAAAAGTTCAAGTGAGAGGCATCGTAAGGGCCCAAAGCAAACATTTCCCTCGTGAAATACTCAAAGGTTTTGCATTTTTGGGTCAGCTTTGCACAGCAGATGCCTCCTACACTTCCTACCCTTACCCTGCTCCTTTCCTCTGTATGGCAGCGGGTTGCAGGGAGAAGAGGGCCAGGATTTCAAAAGGATTCGCTCTTTGTTGGCTTCACTAAATAAAAACCTGGCCTGGAGATACTTTGGTGATGGCACTCAGGAGGCTGAAGTACTGAGGGCAGGTCTGCAAGTCAGAAGTCCTACCTTCTTCCCCTGCCTTTTCACTGACGTTTTTTGTGGCACCGGGCACGCCTTGAAAGTGCCTCTGCTGCCCCGTCTCTAAAACAGAGGTGATGATAACCCCCCGTTCCCTTTGCAGAGCACGTCCAGATCTAAGGATGGAAAGTACGAACGACATGGCCTGCTTTGCATGTATAGAAAGAAGGACTTTCGTGTGATGCAGCAGAGCTTGTACAAGCTGAATCCCATTCAGCAACAGGCACTGACAAGTCTTGATGCTAATACTCAAACTTCTCAGTGCCTTACGTATCAGCGGCTCAGTGTTTACCCCTTTGGCATATATTTTCCTCGTTCACTATATGTTATTTCCAGTTGCTCTTAATATACAAAAACACATGAGACCACTGAACTTCCTTCGCTATTTTGTCATCTGAAATCCGCTGGGGGTGAATGTCCTGCAAAATGGGCCCCAAATATTCATAAACTAACTTCTGTTTATGGAAATATGCCATGCTGTGATGCACAGAAGGTTATTTTAAAAATCATTCCCGTTTGCAGGGTCAGAAATTGGGAGCGTTGGCTTTTAGTTGACCTGAGATGAAGTGTTGGGTGAATACTGGGAGCAAAGCAAAACAGAACAAAACCACAACTGGGACCAATAAAAAACAATTTCTCTTTGATTCCTTCCATGGACATTTCTAGAAGCACGTTTTTGATCACAAGATTGGACTATGTCATGAGAACTCATTCAGATATGCATTTACATGAGTACTGGTGCCAGAAGCCCTTTGTAGTCATCATTAGATGTAGTGGAGCCCCTTAAAAGCTTTTTGTGGGTTTGGAAGTCATCCAACCAGGGGACAGAAGCATAACCATGTGACAAAGCCATCCAATCCCACCAGTCACGGTGAATAGTTTGCAAGCAACTCATTGCCTTTAAGTACCTAAAGTGTTTGCATTTTTAAAAAACCCTGAAGTGTCTTGAATAATATCCTGAAGACTAACTCATGGAGAGAGGCTAATTTTGTAGCATTAATTGTTCACGTCAAGCAGTGGTGAGCTTCCCCGGGGCAGGCTTCACCCGCTCAATCAGACCCAGCATGAGCTTTACCTTCTGCTAGGAAAGGGGCCTATTTCTTGACACATATGTCCACCCACTTTCGGGCATCATCAGTTTGGTAAGCTTCCCGAAGGGTTTCAGATTTGACCCCAGCCTCTGTGCTAAACTGTAGGAACAGTGAATTTATTTTCATGCCCTAAGTACCTTAGGAATATGTTATCCAAGTGGGTCTCTCATTAGTGACTGCAAACTGTGGCAGCCCTAAATATTCTGCAAGTGATGTCCTTGTACATCTCCAACGTTCGGATAGAGAGGGCCTGTGTATTTTGCTGGTTATGCTTTCACCTGATTTGCAAGGGCACTGCATTCCCAGTTCAGACCCGAGGGAGTGGGAACACTTTATTCCCATGAAAACTTCAGCAGCATTAGCACGTTTCCTCTGCACGCCCAACCCAACTTGGCAACCTTCCCTTTGCTCCATTGCTACCACGGGACTTTCAACCGCTTTTAAATTCTCAACAAATTGAACTCTGACAGATAGTCGAGGTGCAGATCCCAGCCCCATGGATGTCAGGACATGTCCGCCCTGCGGCGGCAGCATGAATGCCACTCCACCCACCTGCTTCTGCTCACACTTGCCCTGCCTGCTTGCTCCTGCAGGTACGTTCCCAACCCAGGAGCAGGCCAGCAAAGGGAGAATATCTCTGCAGCCACATCTGCGACCTTGGTCTCCAACGTGCTTGAGCGCAGTCTCTGGTGATGACCGTGGAGTGGCCGTACTGGCACACTTTGGGATTCGGACCATACCTGCACAAGCAAGAAAGCAGGGCGTGCTGCCCCCATGGTGTAGACGTGCCCGTAGAAGGTCCCCAACCAGTAGGAGGCAGTAGCAGTCCTGGTTCTTCAAGGTTTCGTGACTGGTTTGCTATGCTCCATGACTGAATCTAATCTCACAAATATTTAGGGCAGCCTCAATGTTAACATACAGCGAGGTGTGTTCACAGGCATGCACAGGTGAGAGACTGCCTCTGGGGAAGGAGAGGTGATGGATAATCTGCTTACACTGTGCTGTGGTGCAGGGATACTCAAATTACAGCTCGTCCCCAGAGGGAAAAATGAAAGGAAACATTGTGAAAGCAAAGGATGGGGAAAACCCAGGGGTTCATAAACCTCTACGGTTCTGCTGGCACACCGGAAGGAGGGAGGCTCAGCTAGCATAACCTCAGCGTGTCCAAGGGGCAGCTTTTGGGGCAGTTCACTTGCCTGTTGAGCAAATCACTTTGGGAGAAATGCAAAGAAATTATTATAGGGTTTGCCCTGCACAGTGTTAGGCTGGTGTCTAAGTCGAGTTATCGCTTTGTGTCCCCATATAATGGGTATGGAGATGGGGAGGGAGACTCTGAGCACCTCAACCATGCTCATAGAGATTGGGAAAGCTAGGAGCAAGGCCGTCCAATGCTTTAGCCATTCTTATTCCAGACAGATTGTTCTGAATGATGGTGTATTTCAAGGGTTTTACCAACAGAAAAATGTACACGAGTAATAGTGCCCACCAATCCATGTCTATGGAGCAGGGAGCCACTACCGTGGGAAGCAGTATCATCATGTAAATGTGAATACCAAAATTGAGCTCCATTATATAACCTCCATCTTTTCTTGGACACTGGCGTGCGGGGAAGAATTCTGCTAAGAATGGCATTATCCAAAAAATCTGACAGCCAGTACTTAGTATTTAATGAATTTATATACTGATGACCACACAGCCACCTAGCAGATCTCATTACACAAGCTAAGCCATAGCTTCTCTGCTCAGAGATTGCCAGGGCTTCTGTAGACTGAGCTTTTTTAAGTTTGAAAGAAAGGAAATTGCTTCCTGAAAGTTTGACTGCTATGAGATGTGTGTGGACTGCCTGTCTTAATCCAAAGTAAAATGCTGGGTCTTATCTGAGAACTTTCCCAAATTCATAAATCGGTTTGCTTAAAGATCACGTCTATCAGGAAATGCACTTCAGTGCCACATGGGCTTTACTGAGATAGTGCTGTAAGGAGCAGAATCATATTGGCTGGGTTCGTGTACACGTTTATTAATGCACCACAATTATGGTGCATTAAGTTTAGTACCTGTAACCACAAGTACAACTTAATGCACTGTAATTAGGACTATAGTGCATTAGTGCTGGTGCATGCTTTTTAAGTGATGCCAATGCACGGTAAAATATGAATTCTGCTCTAACTGTGCTGTTAGTGTCTCGTGTAGACCCACCCAGTGTGCTCTATAACCTAGTGAGACTGAAAGCAAAGCAACTGCTCTGCAGAACTATTTAATATTGAAATTTGTACAAACCTTCCTTATCTTAACTATGCTTTGGCTTCATAGTACAGGACTTGAGCGTGTGCTCAGACACTCATATACCCATAGTAGGTTGCTCCTGCTAGAGTAGGCTGTATTTCACTGGTTTAATATGGTTGTTTAACCATGGAATTTGCTTCAAGTGATAGACTTAATGCACTTGTTACAGTTTTTTTTCCTGGCTCAGTGAAAATGATAGATTCAGAATAGATATTTTGATAAAACAACTATCCGATGCTGCATGGAAAATAGGTTCTTGCAATGGCAGGCTTCTGCGTAAGGTCAACATGTGAGAATTTCAGCATATCTGTGTTAGGTTAGCTGGGTGTGGGAACCATAGACTCAGCAGTTGGAAAACACAAGCATATTATTGCTGCTCTCTCTTTCCTGTCTTTTATCGGCAGTGGAAAAGGAATAAAGATAAGTTGCGCAGCTCGGTGAGAATAATCCATCACTTCACGTCTCTAGATGGAGAGCCGGAGGGTATCTTATTGCAGCAAATGGGTCAGTCACCAGCCTGATTTACAAACTTCCTTCCCTTTTTGTGACAAAGTTGTCAAGCAGTATTTGCAGAGCACTTCTGCTATGGCCTTGAACGGGTGACCTCAAGGCGGTCAACCATGCGCCTTAGTGCCTCCACCACTCCAGCTCCTGTACTTCATCGCGAGCAAAGATGCTTCCGAGTGCAGGCTTCACTCTGCTTGATCCAGCTTCTGCTATGTGGGCCCTGAGGTTCACCTTCTCCTGGATGCAGAGTGAGGGACACAGGTGAGTGACCCAGAGGCTAAGCAAGTTAACCTGCCCTGCGAGCAGTTACATAACTAAGGGTGGGCACGAGGGGCACGTGTCCTGAGCACCACCTTAAGAGGGGCACTGGAATACCCCCCTCCCCACCATCAGACCCCATGCCCTGGCTGCATTCCTATGCCAGGAACGCCAAAGCAGTGCCCAGCTGCTGCTGCTTTAAGAACAACAGCCAGGGTGGGCAGAGCGTGTGGTGGTAGCCACAGAAGCAGCAGGAGTCAGGGACTGTTTAAGAGTTCCCAGCATAGGTAAGACTATTAGTGCCCCCACCATGCACCTCTCCTGCAGAGTTTTGCCCCCAGGTGCCACCGCTCCTTGTTGCATGATTGCCTCTGAGCACTTGTAACGAGGGGCCCGGTGTGATTGGCTCATGCAGCGCTATAGGCAGAATATAAAGCCTATAACCAGCTGCCTGCGCCTGCTTAATGCAACTTAACCCCAGCCTAGTAAGGCTCTTGCTCCTTTGTTGTGCCAGGGCTTACATAAGGTTTGTGAGGGCAGCTATTGACCTTGTCTCAGCACCATGGCTTTGTTCCAGCTACCACTTTTCAAGTGCTAATCTCTCTTGTTGTACTTCAGGGACAGCTTCAGCTTGCTATGTGATCTGTATTCTTTTCTATAGTATCTGGCAAGAACCAAGACTGTAAATCTACCTTTCGAGTGACTTTGTGAATAGCTTCAGCTTTCCAGAAGGTTTCCCACTGTAGCAATAAGTGCTGGGAACTGATTTGCTTGTGCATCTGATCTCAATAACAAAGACCCTGCAGACCTGTATGAAGCAGATTTGTGTCCCATTATCTGTTTTTCAGGGAGAAACTTGTAGACTATGAGAGATTTTTTTTTTCTTTTCAGTTGAAAAGGACCATGCTTTCAATACAGTCTGGTGTCATTAGCATGGCTTGCAAAAAGCACATGGAAGGTGTCAAATGATCACGTCTCACTTTTGCTTTCATTAGTGGTTGCTGCTGTTCCTAGGCCAAGGTAGGCAGAGAAATCCCATGCCGTTCACCTTTGGTAGCGACGCCAGCTGGAATTTGCCCTGGTGCATGCTGAGGAGCCATGTAGCTTTGTAAAATGGGGAGAAGGAAGGAGACGGCTGGAAAAAAACCCCTCAAGGGTAGGTCTGTTTGTTGTTCTACATCTCTCTCCACTCATGGCCAGCTGCTGCAGACAGGATCCGGCAACCTCTGGCAGCAGCAGCTGGGAACACCGAATCATTGGGTTGTGGTGACCCAGCTGCAGACAGCCTGATATTTTGGGCACAGTGACTCATAGCAGTAGCCAAGAGTGACAGCCTAGTCTTCACTTGTAGGAAATCTGCATTCCTCTGTTATTATATACTCCCCGGGACCGTGAGGAGGCAGCTAGAGCTAGTGGAGGACCATAGCTCACCTTCTGATCTAAGCCTTGTCTGACAGGGCTCTGCCTGTCTATCCTGTTTTTCCTTTGGGGTGTGCGTGCGTTTTCCCACGTAGACCTTTGTTATTTGAGCCCCTACCTGCAATTCAGGGAGCTGCCCTGCTCCTTGAAGGAGTTTTTTTTCCTTCCGAATATGTGCACAGCGCACCTGTGAGGATCAGCCTGGCTCTTTTCTCTATTTTTCTGTTGCATTGCCCTCGCAGAAGGGAGCCAGAGTTACTTTTGGGTTTTTTTGGCTTGCGTCTCCTTGTCCCTATGATGCTGTTTTAGCAGGGCCAGAAACATTAGGCATGGACACTGCTCCAGAAATATTTCCAAGTGGTTTGCAATCCCCTTCCGCCCAGAAAGTTGGGTTTATTATCTAATCAGCTCAATGGGAAAGGCGCTTAATGCCGCAGACGCTCTAGCCCTGTGTAACGCACTCTGAAGGCTGCACACGGGCCAGGGTGGACTATGGAGGACAGCTGATTCCTTGTGGGCCCTACTCCACAGGTGGCAGCAGGGCGAGGAAGCTGGTGGGGGGCCAGCGGCAGCTCCATTTTCTGCGGTGCTGCTGGCAGCATCCAACTATGTCCTGTTGCCTCCATCTGCAGCTTGAGAGGAGGCAGCTGAGCACTCAGTCAGGACTCCAGCTACTACTAATTTGGGCTCTTGAAGGAGTCAGGCCAGTATTTGGGCTTCAGGGAAGAGGTCTCATCTGGTGCACCGCCCCCACGGGGGATGAGGTCTCGCCTGGCGCGCCGCCCCCACGGGGGACGAGGTCTCGCCTGGCGCGCTGTCCTCACTCCCCTCGTGGAAATGAAGGGAGCTGCCGTTCCAGTCCTGCCCTGCTCCTTTCCTGTCTGAAGGGAAGGGTGCTAGGTGATTCCCCCTGAAGCAGGGGGTGCAGGGGAGTGGCGGTGCTCTTCCCGTGGAGCAGACCGAGCTCTCCAGCAACCTTGTTCAGAGTTGACGGGAAATCTCCCCAGAAAGCCGTTGCAACCCTGGGATAGACGGACCTGGCACAGAGCTGACTCGTTAGTCAGAAATGCTCACGTGAGTTCAGAGCCCCCCCCCCCAGAAAACTCTGCAGCAAGGGGCAGGAAGGTGATTGCTTGCCGTTAGGCCTGATCAAAGTGCTGCCCGGCTGCCCTCGACTGACGGGTTTGCTTTGCGCAGAGCAGGCTGAGTGCCCCGTTTTAACGGAGGCAGGACACGGTTATCAAG